GAAAACCAACTGGGCCAGCTTCCTGGTAGAAACATGCACGCTGGGGAGCTGTTCTTCCGGTTTTAGATGTTCTCATCGTGTGAAGACCAGCTGGTGTGCTGGAACCTGGAAGAGCATCAGGTGATGGCTGGCATGCCCAGAGAAATGGCTCTGCATGCCATTTTCGGCACATGTGCCATAGGTTCGCCAGCATGGCTCTAAGCTTTTCCTCCCAGTCTTCCATTTTCCAGAGCTGGAATCTCCAGATTTCAGTTTGATGAATTGCAGGTTGGGTTTTGATAGAAATACAAAGAATATGATTTTGTAGTAATATAGACAGTTTCTTTTTAGTTGCTTTGTTTATAAAATAATTTGCCAGGCTCACCTTTACTTTGTAATTACAAATATAATTATTAATTATTAATTAATTTAGCACAATGAAATGTGTATAAAAAGTGATTAAAAGGTAAGTGGCTGTTAAAGCATAACAGCAAATGATTAGTTACCGAGTAGTTCTAAAATTATGAATATATAGTGAGATTTTTTCAATTTTGAAAGATACATTTTCAAATGAACATTTTTTTTCATTTTTATGAAATTACTTTCTGGATTTGGGTAGCACAACTAATAGAATCTTTCCTTCTGATTTCATAATAAAGAAATAAATCCGTTATCAAAACAAAATTAATATTTTTCTGAAATTACCAGAAATATTGTGGGTATGTTTGTGTATGTGGGAATGCGTGTTTGCATCTGTGCATCCATCATTTTAATTTACAAAAAAAATTGCAATTGTACCATATAGTCCTATGGAATCTACAATAATCTTAATCTTATATATTATGAGGCACAATAATTTTAACAATACTTTGTGAATATGTATTTTGTAAGAAACAGAGATACAGACTGAACATATAAAATGCACAATAAACCTTTATATACATATAAACATTTAACATAGATTTCAAATGCTAAAAGCACTCAGAAAATAGTTACATTACACTTTCTTCTTTCAGGTATTCAAAATAGATTATTTTTCTCTCCTTGTCTTTTCACTTTCTTATAACCCTTCTCAACAAGTTTAGTTCAAGCTTTCCTGATGATTTAATAGAATTGTCAGGGAAGTTATTTAATGAATAAACAGGTCAGGGCACTTTTAAGAAATCACATTTTTATTTAGAGGAAAAGTTTTTGCTGCTATACAGTAGGATATTTTGATGATCACTATAAAATATTAGGTGTGGACTATAAATGTTTTACTATAGCAGAAGTATAACAGACAGCTCTCATGGAAGCACTTCACATACTTACATTGAATATGCCTTTCATTATGGTAGTAAAGGCTAATAATTTAACCTATGTATTATTGAGTAGACCTTTCAAAAATAATTGAGTTCACCATAATTTATTTCTAAGTTTGTACATACTGGCTTGCAGTTACTGTGAGGCTGTGAGCACATTTGATTCTCCCTTGGAATATTGTGATAAATACACCTACCAGTGTTTAAAAAATAATAATAGCAAATTCAGTAAACTTGATATGGACTCATATATAAATTGCAATTTTTCCAATCTATAGAAAAGTTTGCTGTAATCAGATTCTTTTTAATGTGCATTCCATTTGCAATTTCATGTTTTCATTTTATGTTCCAATAGAATAATAGTCCAAGCGGGTATAAAATCATTCATTGCCTTTTGTTATATTATATTATATTATTATGGAATATTTGTTGTAATTGTTCCTTTCATCTTATTATGGAATATTAAATAATTGCATTCTCTGTATCATTTGTGAATTGTAACATGCCATGCAAATTTTATTACAAAACAGGGAATTTTAGCTAACTCTAATATTTGAATGCTACATTCATTTGACCTTGCTATATTTGACTCCATAAATCTTTGTAATAGATTTCATTACTTTTAGTCATTAACGTGTGAAACAGCTATTTATCATGCGTATTTTCAACATGCCCAGCCATTTCACAATTATCTTGTAGCTTGACATGCACATACAAGTTTGTTTGATTTTTCTAAAATTATTAGTGAACTAATTTATTATATCTTTTAAAGAAATATATTTCAAATATGAAATTTTGAAAATCTACCGATATTTACAGGTTGATTACTCCACTTTTTCCCTTCTGTGCTAATTATCTAATATCAAATTAGCTTTTTAAACTGTCTTTTAGCTGGACGGTGTAGAAAGGGATACAATGAAGATGCTTTGCTGTAATCATTGTAGTCTGTGTGTGTAGTTTGTTGCATTTAAAACAAAACTAGAGAAAAGCTGAAAAAACAGTTTTCATCTCTGTTTATGTCTTAATAAATTTTTGTTTATCTGCAGTTCTGTTAAAATGTGTGTATATTATATATTAGGGTTGGGATAGGATTGTGTTGGGTTATAATCAAATAGAGGTCATGCAAGAGATATTTAATTGCTGCATTTTCATTTTTTTTAAAAAATATACAGACTTTTCTATAAATATTTCAAATACACAAATTAAATATTGAAATTCTGTTAACATGCTTGTTTGGCTACAAACCTGCCCATATATTTAGATCAATGGAAAATGCCCATACTGGAAGAAACTCATTTATTATGTGGGAAAGTACCTTCTCTTTTATAGTTTCTAAGCTATGGAATGAGCTCTAAGAAGGTTTTACCAAGGTTTAATTATTAATTATTTTAATGAGTGATTTAAATTTTGATTTTGTTTTTTATGCTTTGTATTTTTCATTGTAGTAAACTATCTTGAGCCTCCAAGATGGTTGTATTGTCCACAAGCTGTGGTTGCACTTTCCACACTTTTGTTTTTTTATTAATCTTAATGATTTTCATAATCATTTTATTTGCATGAATGTATCATTGTTTTTTAACTGATGAGCTTCTCAGAATCATATTAGTAAGATGCACTGCTATGCAAATAAATAAATAAAATGCTTTGAAAAAAGAACAAGATAATTCTAGCAGTATTCAGGAAATGATATTTGGTCAGGTGAGTTGCATTGGTAATAAGCAAGAATAAATGTTGAGATGTATAAAAGAAAAGAAAATCAAAATCTGGACCAAAGGCCTTTATATATAACATAAAGAACACAAAGGAAAGCCATTAAAGAATCTTTCATTTAATAGCACTAGTAGTTATAACATTCCAAAGTATAGTCTGTGGAATTAGCATTAATATTATTGCCTAAGAAGAGAGTTTCATCTATATTTTTTCTATTATTGAAAAGAAAAAACTATTTTAGCAATTCATGTAGGAACAACTTGAAAGTATACAAATATTTTCATTGACATTAGAATGCTACGGCTTGATGAACTTACTTTGTACTGTGACATTTCATTATAGTGAAAACATTGCAGGAATCATGGTATAAATAGTGGCAATCCATCTTCACCTCTTCCATATTATAGCTGTTGATCTAGAATCATCTACAAAACAAGAATGTACACTTGGTAATCTAGATAACAAAGCCAAGAATTGGGTGCTCAGAATTGGGTGCCGCAGAAGCTCTTGCTAATCAACTGAAATGACCAATCTTTATCTTCATGTGCAGGGGTAGTCAACCTTTTTATACCTACCGTCCACTTTTGTATCTCTCTTAGTAGTAAAATTTTCTCTAACCGCCCACCAATTCCATAGTAATGGTGATTTATAAAGTAGGGACAAAACCCCTACCACCCACCATGAAAGCTGGAACGCCCACTAGTGGGTGGTAGGGACCAGGTTGACTACCACTGTAGTACAGTAATGCACTAGTTCTCCCAACCTAAGATATTAAAATTTATCCATGGCAAAATAAAAAAGGTATCAGACCATTAAAAGAAAGCCTAAAATCTGTAGTTCAGTCATGCTTTTATTGGGATCGATAAAGTGACTCAGATATTTTGAGTTCTGTAGGACTTTTCTTCTGGCAAAGTGTCATGAATAATGGAAGGAAAAGTAACAGGAAAGTTCAGTCAGGCCAAATGGATCAACAATGATCTCACTTCAAATTCGAAGTATAAAATGTAGTCTGTATTCCATGTATTGTTCATAGAGGTTCTCACTGCGCTGTATAAGATTAAGCCTATCTTTAAAAGACAACAAAAATAGTTGCTGCCTTCAGTGCTTTATTTTCACATTAAGGGAAAAAAGCATATTTTTCCTTGTATAGTTTGGAAACTTAGTTCAGTGATCCCAGTTTGTTTTGAGCCAGAAGTGAATTGAGATATGTTTGCATGAGGCCACATGTAAGATTTATTGGCTGCTATTTACTCTGTTCCCTGATATTTTTTGTATACAAACTTAAAGAATTAAAGTCATGTTCAGAAGGCAACATTGTGTATTTCTTCATTTAATTTAAAAGGTATGTTGCTTTTTATTCAACAATGTAGTATTTATTCACAAATAAATGTGTTTATCCTTAGACCAAAGAAACAAAATTATTTTATTCCTGGACATGTGAATAATGTTGAATTACATTGATTTTAAATGCTGTATGTATTTGATGTATGAATATATTTGTTTTTTAAATCATAGTTGTCTGTATAATAAATCAGAAATGTAGATGCAGTTATAAAGGTATAATGAAATTGGAGAGGAGCTGTATATTTTAAAATTAAAATAGTTTTGGCCATCTAAAGATTGTTTGGGAAGATATAAAGTCACTAAATCACAGATGGAAATTACTAAAATTTCCATTTCAGAAGGAAAGGGGATGGTTTTGCTAAGTTTTGCTTCTGTTTCTATTAAATTGAGAATTATGGAGTACTAGGGATATTTTTCATTATTATTTCATAGATAAAATTAATTTCTAATGAATTTTATATGTCCTTTTAAATTTATCTAACATCTCTATGTTTCCTAAACCAAAAACAAAGGAAAACAATTTAGAGTTTATTAAAATAGTCATTATATTGTATTTTAAAATATGAATGTTGCTTATAGAATAACATATAAATGTATTCACTGTTCATTATAGATTTTTTCCCTCCCAATATAACTTGTGAAATGATATATTTTCTTTGTCAATAGCAATGCATCTATTTGGCCTCAACTGGCAGTTACAACAGACTGAAAATGACACGTTTGAAAATGGAAAAGTGAATTCTGATACTGTGCCAACAAACACTGTATCATTACCTTCTGGTGAAAATGGTAAGAGAACATGTAATATGAATTTAGGTTTTTTTTATTCCAATATATCAAGTTTCTTAATATTCTCTGTTATCAGAAATCTAAAACTATAGTTTTCTAAAGCTATCTGAATGATCTTGAGCTAGGCCCTTGTTCTCAACCCAACTCTCCCAGAGTTCTTGTAAGGAAAATAGGCAGGAGCATTATGTACATCATTTAAATTATACAAAACAGAGGTGGGATATAAATCTTATAACAAAATAAAAAATAAGAAAATACTTTGAACATTTTAAAAAGGGAAAAGAGAATTATTGTGTTTATCTGATATTAAGTATTCTTTATAGCAATAGCACTTAGACTTATAGTATTTTACAGCCTTTTCTAGGCAGTTTACAGGGTCAGCATATTGCCCCCAACAATCTGGGTCCTCATTTTACCATGGAAAGATGGAGGGCTGAGTCAGCCTTCAGCTGGTCAGGATCGAATGCTGCAGTCAGCAGAGTTAGCCTGCAATATTGATTCTAACCACTGTGCCACCATGGCTCATAGTTGTATAGTTGTAAACTACTCAAATCCTATAATGATTAGGCCTCTTATACACCCCTATATTATTAAATTGGAGCAAATGATAACAATATTTAGGCTGCATGTTTATGGATGTCTTTCCAGATACCATTTCTTCTGGATTATAGATACAAGCAATTTTCTTCTCTTTTGTTTTTTCCAGTTCTTTTTAAAGTACTGTTTTCCTATATGTAGTAGCAATATCCAATGTCCTTTTTATGTAACTATATACAGCAAAGTATGTTGAGTTTTTGACAAACCATATATATGTGTGTGTGTGTGTATGTATATGTATATGTGTATATATATATGTGTGTGTGTGTGTTAGGATATGCATCTTCTGCCAGTGCTGCACTTTTCATGAATCTTTCCCTTGTGTTATGAACTGAAATAGTTATTTCTTATTGTACGTTATCTGTCCTTTATGTCCTTTCATGCATAATAGAGCTTGCCCTCAAATTATGACCAGAATTGGGCTGGAACTTTCTTCGCCTAAGCAAGACAATTGTTAAATGAGTTGCACGTAATTTTAATGACCTTTTTTGCCAAAGTTGTTAGGTGACTCACACAGTTGTTTAGTGAATCTGGCTTCCTGTTGACTTTGCTTGTCAGAAGCTATCTGGGAAGGTCACAAATGACAATTACATGACTCTGAGATGCTTCAGTCATTGTAAATACATGCTGATTGCCAAGAATAGAAATTTTCATCACATGAGTGGAAGGATGCTGCAATGGTCATGTGTTGACCCAGCTACAAGTCACTTTTTTCAGCACCATCATAACTTTGAACAGTCACTAAATGAATGATCATAAGTCAAGGACTACCTGGATGTCATTTTCTGGATGTAGGAATAATAGATGGCAGCTGGCATCTTTATTAAGAAGTAAATATTTTATTGAGATGGCTCCAAAGAAAAAACAAAGCATTATAGCACAATTTGTGAAGTCCTGAATGTCTGCAGATAAGAAAAGGAATTTCTAGATTTCTGTTGTGAGTTACTATTGACTTCAAAAAGTACATTTTCTTGTTTCAGTATAAGCTATCCTTCCTTCTATGTTTCCAAGTTGAAACAAGTAAGTTATACTGATATCTGGGAGTGAATTTACACCGTAACAATCTTTTAAGTCATTCTCTCTTTGCCCTGTTTTCATATCTGATCTTGATAAATAGCTATGTTCAGAAAATAATGGGAACGCATAAGGGAGTCAATAAATAGCCAGAGGTCAAAACACAGGGCACCACATGACCAAAAGTAAATAGGAGTCAAAACTGGAGAACAAAAACTGAGATTCCAAATGCCAAGGTAATTGAGTATCAGAAACAAGACTTTATATTGTTATATCCTAGTAATAAAACACAGTCCTTGGGATACATCAATAACCATTTACTTCCTGCCTATTTTAGTTTAAGTAATTTCAGGAATGTAAATTATTTTTTCTCTAAATTGCCTCCTAGATCCTCAACCTCTAGCTATCTGTTCAAATATGTATTTGCTATCATGGTTTCAGAGACTTCCAAATATTTCAGGCTGAAATTCACATAGTCTGCCCAACATCCTGTTAAGCTATTCTTAAATAAGATAGCTAGCCTTCTTTTCCAACTTAGTCCCATTTCAACTAATAATGGAATCTTTTTATTTTTAGTTTTCCTTTGAAATAGTATGCATATTGAGCTGCCTCCTGTTCATTCAATATATCTTAACTTAGAACTGCATTGTAGTCAAAGAATATTGAGAGAAGAGCTTTGGAATTTTAATTTCATTAACTGAGGTGGAAATATACCTTACTTAATTTTTTAAAAAATGATAATTTTCCTGGCAATCTTTTAATTGGGAACTCTGCCTACACACTCAATTGATTTTATCCTTCTATGTCCTTGAAATTTTGGAAAAAGCAAATCAGTATAATGATTTGAGACAACCTCCAGTAACTTGATAGGATATAAACATTTTCTGAATGTCTTGTGGATCTTTCCAGACAATCCAGTCAGTGTTTTTGTCGGGGCCCTATTCTTACAATGAGATAGTGAAGTAAGACAGGCTATTGATACAATTGTACTTAAGCATTATTAGTTAAACATTAATCACCCAAAGTTGCTGGAAGTTGGTAGCATATAAATTTAATAAATCATCATTACTTTCTACATTATTGTGGAACCCAGAAGACCTCCTGAACAGTGACAGGAAATGGAGCTGCTCAAGAGAAAACTAGAACATATAAAGGGTAGAAAACTTGTGGTGAATACAATAAACAGGTGTAAAAACATATTATAATGTCTGCTGGGAAATTAAAAGCTGCAGATAAGCCTTTTGTGCCACCACTGTTGCATCTTTGAGTAGATATATAAAGGACTGCATGTTTTGATATATGGGAGCAAATAGACAATCATTGTAATTTATTTGCAAGGTATTTGAAGGATAAAATCATTTATTTACATGCTGTCAGAATGCCAAAAATTAATACTAGTTCAAATTAGATGTTCATTGTTTCAACCTATACAGTTTTATGAGATCAGTTTCAGCAGCTTGTGCATCCAATCATATGTTGTGGTGTACCTGTCCTTCAGAGCTGATTTAGTCTTGTCAGAAGGCCTTGACTAAGTGAATCCCTGTATTGTATATGAGTTTCCATCAGGATTATGCATCAGAATTTGGCATTGATTTCTAGACACTGGTGACATTCCAGTTGGAGGAATAAAATTGGCCTACAAAGAAACTACTTTTCAGTTCCAATGCCAATTCATGGGAATAGTTTTCTTGTAAATATCAGAATTTTTTCCACTTTTGTCCTTCAAAAGATTCTAAAAAGCTTTAAAAAGATTTTGTAGAATAATGTGCCTTATGTAGTTGGAATATTATTGTGGTTCTGCTCCTAATGACTTGTATATAGCTTTTCACTTCTTTCACTTATTTATAAGGTATTGTTTTATCTATCTTGGAGTGTGTAGTGTATGATCTTGTAGATTCTCCTTAATAACTGCAGTATTCATCAACACCATCTTTTTTGTATTTAAATTGTTTTCATTTGTATTTGTATGGAAAAATATATTGAGTGATATATTTCTGTTCCCTTCTGTTGTTCAACATCTATATGATGCTATTGATAGATCGTTAGGAAGTTAAGATCAATATGCCAAAAGCACCCAGATCAGTTCCTCTGTATGTATCATTTGAAATTATCAGAGAACAGGCAGGATCTAAACTACTGTTTTTCAAACTTGGCAACTTTAAGATGTGTGGACTTCAACTCCCAGAATTTTACAAGTCAGCATGAGAGATGAAGTCTATATATCTTAAAGCTGACAAGTTTGAAAAGCACTGGTCTAAACTGATATGTAGGTGCACTGGTTGGTAAATGAAGGTTAATAAATAAAAGTGAATCCTTACAAAACATTCCTTTGTAAAGAAATTAAGGAATTTATATGGTTTGAATGGGATTACAGTTCTGAAGGAATGGGTACATAACCTGGCAGACTACCACTATCACAGATAAACTCTACATTTACTCATTAAACATCTACATTAAACATCTACTCATCTCTACATGAGTAGTGAGAGGCCTCTTTATTTTACAGGGATAACCAGGCCAGAGAGGGCTGTTGCAATGTAATATATATAGGCTGCATTCAACATTGACCCAAAAGCACTATTACAAAAACTATTACAAAAACTCATAGCAAAGTTGCTAAACTGTACTGCCTACCATAATGTTATTCTGAAAGAACTGCAGTGACTGCCAGTTTGCTGTTAACCAGGTTTAGAGTACATGTAATGACATAAGATCTGTTTGGTATAGAACATGGATATATGATGCTCTCTTTTAATGTGTGTTCTTCCTACCAAAGAAGTAGGGTACCCTCTTGTGCATGCCTCATGTTCCAATCTTAATACAAAAGACACAGTTATGGGGTTTCTTCCTTGTTCAATTATAGTCAATACCAAGCTTTTTAACCTTCTGGAGACAGCTGAAGGTTTACTCAGACATTTGGTTTAATTGGTGCTACTTTATCTGTCTAGATTAGATTGCTATTCTTGTTTTATGTGTTACATTTAATGGTTGTTAGAGCTATTAAATTATTATTGTTGTTTTTTAACTCATTGTGAATTATTTGTTATTCTTTTAACAAATCATAGCTTGCTTTGAAATTGTTTTAATATGAATGTACTAAATATATAATGACACAAATGTGTTAATATGGTTGCATCAGTCTTCTTGCTTTTACTTTATTTTTTTATACAGGATAAGATTTATAAACACATATAGATAAAATTGCATTCTGTGAATGATTTTGGGTATAAAATAAAATGGTAGTGTAAATGAGTAAGAACACAATGAAATTATTATTTTTTAAATTTAATATGTATTTTAATGGTAATTTAAAAATCAAAAGATATGAAGAGAATCTAAATAGGAATCTCACTGCTTCAGTAAAAGTGATAGAGAAGAGGAACAGAAAC